TAATTTCTTCAATTTGTGTAATCTTGCTACAAGTAATTAAATTCACATCCATAAATTTTTATATAATTAGTGCTTTACTTCAGAAATTGAATGCTTTATATTTTTGAATCTTGTAGAATGAGGGTCAGCAGAATTTTCTCTAAATGGCTAACAAATAGTTCAGCCGTTGTGGGACAAGAGACAAGATTTGAGGATATTACATAGGTTCTTCTGTAATGAGAAAAAACAGATATCCATGCTTTTCATTATGTCGGTCTACGAGTGAGAAGAGTGGAATTTATTTATGGAAACTGAAACATGAATTGCATATAATTTTCATGTGTTATGAGATATTACAATGTAGAAAATAACAAATGCTCTAGAGGATGTGGGACAAGAGAACCCTCCTATACTGTTGGTGGGATTGTAAATTGGTGCAGCCACTACGGAGAGTGGTATGGAGGTGCCTCAAAAATCTGAAAAGTAGAGTTGGCATATGATCTATCACAGGCCTCCCAGGTGGCCTGTGGTAAAGAATCTGCCTGCCAGTGCAGGAGATACGGGTTCAAACCTTGGGTCTGGAAGATCTCCTGGAGCAGGAAATGGCAACCCACTCCAGTGTTCTTGCCTGGGAAATCCCATGCACACAGGAACCTGGCAGGCTACAGTCCATGGGGTCGAAAAAGAGTTGGACATGACTTAGTGACTAAACAACAACAATAGCATATGATCTATCAATACCACCCCTAAGCATAGATCCAGATAAAACTTTGAAAAGATACACGCAGCCCTATGTTCATATCAGTGCTATTTTATAGTACCCTATATATATATAAGCTAATTATATTTATTGGAATATATATATAGTGTAATCTTAGACATAAAAAGGAATGAACTTTTCGATACCATTTACAGCAAATAGCAAATGCCATTTATAGCAAATAGATGATCATACTAAGTAAAGGAAGTCAGAAAGAGAAAGACAGATACCATATGATATCATTTATATGTGGAATGTGAAATGTTACATAAATGAACTTCTCTATGAAACAGAGACAGACTCACAGATACAGAGAACAGACTTGTGGTTGCCAGGAGGATGGGTGAGGGGGTTGCATTGAAAGTTTGGCACTAGAATATGCAAGCTATTCTTCTAGAATGGATAAACAATAAGGTCCTGCTGTATAGTACAGGGTACTATAGTCAATATCCTGTAATAAACCAAAATGGAAAATAATATTTAAAAGTACTGTAATGATGTAAAGTAATTAGCCTCCAACTAATAAAAATAAAATAAAATAAAATAAAAGGGTGAAAAAAAAATAAATAAAAGTATATGCACATAATATATAAAACTGAATCACTTTGCTGTACACCAGAAACTAATGCAATTTTGTATATCAACTACAAATAAAATATAAATAGAGAAACCACTCCTACCATTCTGGCCGTACAAAAACAGGGCAGGCTGGGTTTGGTTCAGGGGCTATGGTTTGCCAGCTATTACCCTAGAACACAAGCTCTTGGACAGTAAGTACTCCATAACCCAGGAGGGAGCTTTATGAGGTCCTTGAACTTCTCGAGATCACAATTTGTACCCATATTAATTTTTCCATGGGCAGGGTCCACAGCTCTCATCAGACTCTCAGAGAAGTTCAGGACTTGAAAAAGATTAGGTGCCACTGTTCTAGAGACAATTCACCAAATTTTAGAATGCATTTCCTAAGGCCCTGACAGTTCCTAGGTACTTGGGGCTTCCCAGGTGGCACTAGTGGTCAAGAACCCATCTGGCAATACAGGAGACAGAAGAGACATGGGTTTGATCCCTGGGTTGGAAAGATCACCTGGAGGAGGGCATGGCAACCCACTTCAGTATTCTTGCCTGGAGAATCCCATGGACAGAGGAGCCTGGTGGGCTACAGTCCATAGGGTCACAAAGACTCAGACATGATTAAAGCGACTAGCACGCACACACATGCAAGTGACCAGTAACTTGTGGGAATTCCTACCCTAGCAGCTAATACTGCAAGACACATTGAGAGTAAATAATTGTCTAGGTGATCTTTTTATTCATATAGTCAGTTGTTGCCATCATTCTTGTTGGTTTTATAAGATTCAAGAATGATGAACATCCATACCCTTTGTTCTAAGAGAAAAACTTTCTCATATTTTCCAATATTTAGTAAATGATTTGTAGGCTTGAGTGAATATCTGAAACATATTTAAGTGCCCAGTCAATTTGGTCTGTATATAGAAATCAGATTCAACCTGTTAGGTACCTTTTTCTTTAAAATTAAGACTGCCCCACAGATTGGTTCATGTTTAGCTCAACTTACATCAAGGGCTGCAAGACAGGTACAGGAAGGATTAAATTTGCTAATTAAAATTGAATGTGTGAACTTGCGGCTGCCTGATATAACAGGTGGCTGTTAAATAAAGCTAAGCCCTTGAATGTTCAAATTCATGAAAATGGAATACTTACCCTGGAGCAGAGGTGGTGGTAAAAAAACAGAAATGTCCATTTGAAAATAAATAAGAAACTCAGGAGTTCCAGCTGCGCCCAAGGGGTTGAGAATTAAAAAGAAAAAAAAAACCTGCTTCTTCTCAATAAACAGCATTATAGAATCAAGTTTATATCAAAGAGGAAATGCTTGTAAAATCTACAACGCTAACTTTAAAATGTAAATATGATACAGTATAATCTTACAAACCCTAAACTTTTTCAGCAAGCCCCTTGCACTTTTTATATAGACTTCCAATTAATTTACAGCTTGCTTTCATGAGGTTGGAACATATAACAAACCTAAGAAGGTTAAAACATATTCTAAGTTAACCAGTAAATTTTCCCCCAAAAAGGAAGGAAAAAAATACAGAAGTTCGGAGCTATTATAATAGGAAGCATTGCTACATGTCTGTTATTCCTAAATATTATTAATTGATTGGTATTTATTAGTGATTAATAATTTTGTAATATAGAAAACTCACTCATCTGCCAGTTTTCCTTTTAATTCAGTAGCTTTAGAAAATATAATAATGGCTCTTCTGGGTTCTGTGGTTTTACCATTTGAGATTTTTGCTAATTTTGAGACAGCCTGAATCATCAAATTGATAAAGTCTGTCTTAGCTCATTATATAAAATAATATCACATCAGTTAAGTCCTGAAGCTTTATATTTCATTCTATGAGAAGCATGATATGTTCCTATAACCTGTTATATCGCAGTGCTAGTTAGACTGGGTCAGCCCGTGGCTTTTGTCCTCAAACCTTAAAGCACTTCCTCTGACTGCCCCATCATCTTTCCTGCCACCTGGTGTCACCCCTTTCCTCTTAAAGCTCTTGGCCACCATGCCTTCTCTACTTACCGTGATGAGTCTTACCAGTTTTGAAGGGAGCAGGACATGCTCTTTCTGTTGTTCCTAACTTGCCAGTTAGCTAATGATAAATTCACCTATGGAGAAGGAAATAGCAACCCACTCCAGTATTCTTGCCTGGAAAAATTCTATAGACAAGAGGAGCCTGGCAGGGCTACAGTCCATGTGATTACAAAAAAGTTGGACACAATTTAGTGACTAAACTACAAACTCATCTTAAGGGAGAGTGCTAATGGGGAAGCCCGTCCTTCCAAGGTGAATGTGGTTTGTAACACGGGTTTCATGGAGAAGGCTGTGCTGGTGAAAATTTCAACTCCAACTAGAGGGTGGCAGCATGAATATAGATTGTCCCTCACTTCATACTCTACAGAGTCCTATTCTACCTCCATTTAGAACTGTTCCTGTTATTATGATCTAGCACAAGATGTGGGCACAGCTTAACAATGCAATAGATTTTTTTTTAAGTGAAAGAAATTAAAAAGAAAGCAAGAACACATGCCGTTAGTAATACATGAGATATCACCAGTTGTATAGCAGTGCACCTACCTTATAAAGTCACTATTAGAAATATACTACATTTAACCAGGATTTGTTATTCATTCATTAAAATGTTTACATTTATTTTTAAATTATGTCATTGATTTTATTGGTCATTCACTATGTATATTGGGTGCTGTAGGGGAGGCAAGAGAACTATTAAAGGAATTATGACCACATTGAGAAGAAAAGACGCTCCCATGTGGAACAAACTGGAAAACAGCAGAGTAAAGTGATAAATTATTTCATCACAGATAATAATAAAGGCAATACATATATTACACACTTTGAGATCAGGACTGTTAAAAAATTTAAAAACCCAATAATAGCCTTTTGCATTTCCAAGACTTTTACCAGTTATACTCTAGTGTATGTATCTACCTTATAATCCTGTTAACTCTCCCTGCCTAGTAGGAATCCTATTTAAGATATTTAGGGCCCTCTTTTAAACTGTGCATATCATCTGGTCCCTTAGATAAAGACAAGGCTAGTCAAGTCAGATTCGTTTGTAAAATGAGACCTCTTAAAAAAAATGACCATACCAATCTCCTTTTAGGTAGACAGCAAGAAGTTAAAGCTCTCACCTTTTAAAATCTACTCCTCTCTTCCTTCCTCCTTGCCTGTCTTCATAATTGATAGTGGGCCGGGAAGAAAAGCAAGTGTTTGGTAGGGCAGGTGGGAACCATGGTAGAACCAGCAGCTTTGGAGCAAAGCAGTACTGCCAGAAAGAGAAAGGAGGATGGTGAAATGAATGGGACCTTCAGATTGCCCACATATATGATATCGACTGTGACAAGATTTTTAGATAAAAGTGGAAGTGTTAGGGAAAACATGTTAGGAACAGACTCCATCAGTGTGATTTGATTTACCTAACTCATAAGTGTTAAAATTATGTGGCTTGGTTTATCAGCTTACCAGTAAGTGTTACTCAAAGAGATTTGTTGGTTTAAAAGGAACTCTTGTATGGGAATTAATATGAGACTAAAAATAAATCAGAAGATACAATGGTAAATTTTGATATGGCTTATGCTTTTTGAAAGACTGCTTCTTTGTGTAATAATAGGAATAATCTATTGACCTCTAACACCTTTTTTTTCTCTTTTAAACATACAGAATTCTTTTCCTGTGAATCCTGCGATTGCAGCTAATCCTGCCATGGCTTACAATCCTTACTTACCTCCTCATCCTGGGATGGGCCTGGTCCCCGCCGAACTGGTACAAAACACACCTGTTCTGATTTCTGGAAACCCACCTCTTCCACTGCAAGGGGCTATTGGTCCAAAACCGATCCGTTCAGATAAACTGGAGGTATTTGTGTAGAAATCTATGAATACTTACAAGGGTAGATATCAGCCTTATGCATAAACATTTCCAGAACCTGGTGTCTTGAATGCTTTAAATAAGTACATCTGGGTTTTAAGCTTCTGGAATATTACCTTGGAGAAGTATTAGACATTTTACTACTGCAATTTTACCCTGTTATGAAGTACACAGTTGTACAGTGGGTCAAACAGTGTCCTAGTTTGCCCAGCCGCAGACTGTGCATCTCCTCTGCTATGGCACAGAAAGTCTGGTGGGCATGCTCCAGCTTTACAGTCTGGAATTACAGTCTGTATTCACTGGTGGATCTCTACTTGCTAGAATAATCAAACTGAAAATAAAAGACCCATTAACTGTCTCTGAATGCAGAATGTAAATGAGTCTCATAGAGTCTACACCTGTTTCTCCATATTAAGAATGATGTGCTAGATCAGAACTATCCTTATGCCTAAGAAAAGGAAACTAAAAGAAAATTGCAAACACTGTGATTTTTTTTTTTCTTTAAGGTTTGCCGTGAATTTCAGCGAGGTAATTGTACCCGTGGTGAGAATGATTGCCGCTATGCTCACCCTACTGATGTGTCCATGATTGAGGCAAGTGATAATACTGTGACCATCTGCATGGATTACATCAAAGGTCGATGCTCCCGAGAGAAATGCAGGTATTTTCATCCTCCTGCGCACTTGCAAGCCAAACTCAAAGCAGCTCATTACCAGATGAGCCAGATGAACCATTCAGCTGCCACTGCAATGGTAAGAACAGGTCAGGATTTGTTGACTCTCTGTTTAGGGATAAATGATTCATATATGCCTCAATTTATCTAATGCCCTGGAATCACAGTCTTGGATAGTCATGAGTGGACCTTAAAATGAATCTCTCAGGATATAAACTGGAAAGGAGAGAACCTATTTATTCTAATTCACTAAAAGTTTCTAAAGGTAATTATTTAAAAGCTTTCCTAATGACTCCTACTGTGCTTTTTCTCCCATTTTTTAAGAAGGAGTAAATTATACAACTTAAACAGTAAATTATTTTTGAGTGATTTTTACAGCCTAACTAACCTTAATATCCTGTGAGCCACCTAGATGGGCACTTTGCTGGTAATATCCTTAGTAACTTTCAAACACAGAGGACTTGGAGGGTGAGTTGGTGATTAAGTTCTAATTTCCCAAAGGTTGATGATTTCAAGGCAGCAGCCAGGCAAGGCTTGAGGGGTAATTTCTATATGGTTGGGAGAAGAGGCCTGACTATTGAGTTGCCATAGTAAGTAAATTTTGGAGAAAAGTTAGTTCTACCTAACTATGTAAGGTAGGAGGTAGGAAAAATACTTGCATAACACTATTGTGTGATAGGCTGAAAAATAGGAATTATGATTACTTAGGTTTGTCATAGTTGTCAATTATTTTGATAGGCTGTAAGCTATCTATTTCTTTTACATCCTGGGCCTTTCCTCATGTAATAGGGTATAACTCAAATAAGGGACAACATTCTGAGGAAACCTCATTTTTCCTGGTTGTGGGAAAAAATCACCTCTGTGACCCTGAAGCCCATGACAGAGATCTTTCCTTTTCATAAGAGAGATACGTTTATTTTCAGGCATCCCTATTTATTGAGAAGGTTTTCCTCATACTAAGTTAAACTCTACCTCACTTTTAACTGGAACATACACTTATTTTATTACCAAAAAAAGTCTATCCCTGTTTCATAGGAACCTGATTCTCATGTCTTTTCTCTAAGCCAAATACCCCAAATTTCTCCAAACTTTTCTCACAGATGACAGCTTTGTGGCCACAGCACCAATGTTGGATTTGTTCCTCGTTCTCAGTAACCCTGCTCTCTCAGAACTGAACCCACTTATTTGTGAAAGAGCTGAGTACCAACATAGAACACACTTACTTTCTCCCTTGATCTGGACAGCAGAATCTATGAATGAATGTTAAATAAAAAAAAGGACTTCATCACATTTTTTGTCTTAAATTCTTTTGAATGAGGGAATTTTAAGCTATGAAAATAGGAAGGTATCCAGAATATCAATGCAGAATTTAAGCCTCCAATTGTTAGTTATTTCTGTTGGTGGCATAGAGAGGAAGTACATTTGGCCCCCTGAAAATAAAGGTTCTCATATGCATGGGATGCATGAGAAATGGCTTGCCTGTGCTTTGGTAAACCTGTCCCATGCTCAGTCATGGGACTTTCATATGTATGTGCCTATTTCTGATGATTTTGGTGTGTTTGGTAAGATATATATGTCAGCCCCAAATTTCCATATAAAGAGTTAAATATACTATATAATAGGCCTTCAACTGGTGTTTTTGAACATCAATATAAAATGCTTTTCTGAGTCATCAGAGCAGAGTCTTAAAAGTTGCATTTACCCATAGGAAATTGTGTGAGATAAGATTAAACAAAGGAGGCTGCATGAAGAAGTTTAAGCTTTCTGTATTGCAAGGATTCACAGTTGAAATGCTTTTTGAAAGGGAGATTTTTTTTTTTGCTCTGTTCTTGTTCATGCTCAGATTGAAATCACTTAAAGCAACTTGTACGCATATAAAAGACTTGAAGGGACGCTATAAAGTTCCCAAATAAAGTAGGGATACTGTTAGGCCTTCTTTATCCACAGGAATAAGGAGGTCATGGCATGCCCTCGTTGGCATATGGAAGGCTAGGTACTCAGCATAAATGTGCCCGTCTCCTTAAGAATTTGGAGTATACCCAGTTGTCGCCGGGACATGTTTTTAACATACTCTGCAGTTAGTAGAGGGGAAAATGTCAGGTCCAATTTCTCCAGTGAATCTGATCCAGGGGCAAGTTTGACTGAATATTATAAGCACAGTAGGATTTTAAAGAATTGTAGACATGAAAGGAAGATTTTAACTCAGTAAGAGTAAAACCTCTTACCTTAAATTCAGCTTTACAAGGTCTTAACAAAGCAAACAGTACATACCGAAATGCACAGCAGGTCTCTATAAATAAATGAGAATTGCATACATTTTGCTAACTATGGTTTCTAGGTGAGGTGAATGGTGCAGGCGATTAATTCATTTGCTTTTTCCTTACACATTAGTTGGGAAATACACAATTATAGGGTTTGGACCCGACATCCTTGTATAAATTGAATTTTGGATTTTGGAGCTACAGAATCAGACTCAGATCTACCGACATCTCTTTTTTTTCACCTATATGCCATTATCTCCTTGATTTAGATCAGAATTTTAACTGGCAAAAATCCCTTTCCTATTAGTAAGTTGCTTCTGCTAATCTCATTTTAATAGGTGGATAGATGAGCATCCCTTAGATGTTAATTTGATTTATTTTTCATTTTTATTTGTTTGTTTATTTTTGGTTGCACAGGGTCTTTGTTGCTGCATGCGGGCTTTCTCTAGTTGCGGTGCACAGACTTATTGCGGTGGCTTCTGTCGTGGCAGAGGACAGGCTCTAGGGTGCCCGGGCTTCAGTGATCGAAGTTCCTGGGCTCTAAAGCACAGGCTTAGTAGTTGTGATGCTTGGGTTTGTTGCTCCCCAGCATGTTGGATCAGGGATCGGAACTGTGTCTCTTACATTTGCAGGCAGATTCTCCACCACTGAGCCACCTGGGAAGCCTTTGATGTTCATTTTAAATGATTATTTGCTGTCAACAGCATCCTGTCACATCTTGCCCACCTGATGAAGCCCTTTTCAACTTCACTCATTTGTCTAAATTAGTGAAGCTGAAAAACTTCTTTCTCCCTGGTATGTTCATTTTCTGTTTTGGACTGAGTATGTACTCATATAGTGAATGACTTCATCTTTTTAGTTGGTTACCTTGCTCAGTGGTGACCCTCGCAAAAGGTTCCCAGACCAGACCTTATCTAACTGCTGCTTGCTTGGTCTGAGTACATATTTTACTTTCCTTGGTACTATTTCTTAATCTATCCTTCCCTCACAGGGCCTTCAGCCTGGTATACTTCAGCTGATACCAAAGAGATCGGCACTTGAAAAGGTCAATTGTGTCCCCCCAGTCTTTAATCCCAGTGTGTTCCACTGCCAACAGGCTCTGCCTAACATGCCGATGCCGCAGCCGCAGCCGCAGCCGCAGTTCATTCCTACAGGTGAGAATGGGGCCGGGCCCTGGAAGCTGAGTGGTGTTGTGAATGAATACAGTTTACCCCAGCTTTCAAAGAACTTTTATGTGAGGATGGTCAATGGGTATTTTGATTAGAAATAAAACGACGCAATTATGTGTCTGTTTGCATACAGAACAAACTGTTTTCCTGTGATTCCTGAAAATTAATGGTTTTGAAATGAAACTAGGAAACGCTGTCAGCATTTTTCTTTTGAGCATTTCTTAATTTTTGCTTTTCATGTTTGATTCACTTGTTTCAGTCTTAAACTAATTCTTTGACTCTTAGGTATCACTTTCAAAGGCAATGGTCTGCTCTCACAAAAGGTTCGGAGCTTCAACATTGCAAAAATAGGTAGTCTATATATCTTTGATATGCCAAAGATAGTTATAGTAAAACTACCTTTAAATTTAGATTACAGAATAATACAGTATATATATATATATATATATATACAGTATAATACAGTGTGTATTTATATAATACAATATAAAACAGGGAGTTTTAGCCTCTAACTCTTAAATCAGTTAATATAAAGTATATGGAAGTTTGTCACATTTTCCTAACACTTTGCAGCATATTTTATTACCTCCTATATTCAACTATATTTACTAGTATAACAGTTTTGTACAAAATTGAAAAGAAAAATTTAAGCCATAGTCTTTTAAAATAAACATCATATATGAGGGGAAAATACTTTTCTTCCAGTGGTTTAGTACTTTAAGAATTAGCATATAATCTCTTAGGAATAAGTTGAAAATGCTAACCACTGGGAGTCCAGTAGACTTTTTTTTTCTTTTTTTGGTCAGAATCTTAAATGCCCCAGTTTGGAAACTATTAAATGAAAATCGCATGCTTTAAAAATTAATTTAGAAACCTTGTTAATTATAAGCATATTAAGCACATAATAGTATTATATGCCTGGACTTAAAGAAACCCATTGATTCACTGATATATTAATCAGTTAATTAATTTTGAAAAAAGCCATAAAAATCTTAACTTCTGTCCAGTTACTAACCATAATAGTTCTTCATGATACCATTTAAAAACACAATTTTTAGACTTTTTTGAGCTGGATTTGGCTAATTTAAAAATCTAGATTCATAAGCAAAACTGTCAGAAGAATCCCTTTCCCCTTAATTTATGGCAAAATAAAACCTTGTCAGGTTGAGAGCCTCCCTTGGTGAAAATCCTGTTTGCCATATGTTCACAGTCAAGTCCTTGATCACTAGGTGGGGGAGGCCATGATAGTAGATTAGTGCCCTAAGTAGAACTTGCTGGCACCAGCTGCCAGATCTTGGTGCATATTTTGAAAATCATATATGTAATAAATTAAAACTCTCCCTTTCATAATAAAAATCACTTAGGATGTATTCATCCAAAATAAATATATAACTAATTTAAGTTGAGCTAATGCCTTTAAAGAAAAAATTAACATTCATTTTTATACCTAAGAATCCAAGAATTACTCTGATCACCTGGGTTTGGGGTCTTAAGCTATAATTGTGAGCATGGGAGATTACTGGATATGCATGTGCTGGTTAATTAATATTGCTAAGAATATCATTCTAGTTAAGAATTATTTCTATCAATAAAGCTTTAATAATGAAATATCTCTTTTCTTTACTTTTCACGCTTTTCTGCATGGTGTCCAGGGCCAATACTGTGCATGGCACCCGCTTCAAGTGTTGGTAGGTTTTGTACAAAAATTCTCAACTTTTTCTAATCTGGAAAAAAAAAAGTGTTTTTTATTGTGACTATGAAAGAAACAAGCAACTGAATGATATAGCTGAACATTTTCTGAGTATTTAAGTTTTAATATGGTGCTGTCTGTTACATGTTTTTGTGAAATCACAGCAGTCCTACACTCTCAAGTTCTAGTTCATTGCTCCTGTGGTTGAATGCTGACCTTGCCATTTCTGTATTTTCACACTACAAATTGCAGCTAAAATATTTTGAAACATTTCCTTATCTAGCTAGAATGGGCAGTTTTATTCTTTGGTTTACATCTGTTACTAAGAAATTGTAAAATATTTAAAATACTTCAAATGTAGAATTTGTAAAGTACAACGAAACCATTCCTCCCAAAAAAAGTTACCCAAAAGATCAAAATCATTCAATATTTAGATGTTGCAAAAAAGCAAAACTAGAGCCTTCTGTAGTGTTTTGTAATGCTTTCTATAGTGTTCTAGGATGAAATGCCATCTGCACAGAAATCAGGCACCACAGGATCATTTCAAAATGACTCTTTGGGGGTATGTGATTTTTAATAACCAGTAACACAGAGAACCTCTAATTAGCCACCCATCCAATATGGTAGCCATCTCAAAACCATTTTGTGCATGCATATGTGCTAAGTCACTTCAGTCATGTCCAACTCTGTGACCCCATAGACTGTCGCCCACAAGGCTCCTCTGTCCATGGGAATTCTCCAGGCAAAAACGCTGGAGTGGGTTGCCGTGCCCTCTTCCAGGGGATCTTTCCCACCCAGGGATCAAATCCATGTCTCTTACATCTTACCTGCTTTGGCAGGCAGGTTCTTTACCACTAGCGCCACCTAGAAAGAAAACAAGGAAAGCGACTCGTTTGCCTCAGAACTCCAGGGGAGTTCACAGCTCCTGTCATTTCCATGGGCACCAGGAACAGACCAGGAGAAAATAGCTCTGTTCCACACAGGGAAGAATTACCCCACCTCACCCCACCATCTCATATCAATCCAGTTCCTTTTATCCTTTTGGAGAGTTTGCAACAGCTTGACCTCCATCTCATTGGTCAGCCAGAGTTGCTGCAGAGTCCAAAAGGGACTAAGGGGTTTATCAAGATAAAGCAAAAACCTCAAAATGACAGCCACATAAGTAGTAACACTCACTGACAGGCGAGGCCACTGTCATTGTGATGCCCTGTCAGAATTCAAAGCATCTCCACTGATACTAGCGGAAGCATTATATGCATATGATTAGGAGAACAGACTTTGCAAGTTGGTGAAATGTGCCTCCATCTTCCCATTTCGTGGCTCCGCTCGCTTGTCCTTTCACCTAAGGGTTCTGTGTAGGAACGCACATGCATGCTCCACTGGTACTGTTCCTTATGCAGTTGCTGTGCTCCTAAAGGGAAAACAAGAGTGTTTTTAGAACTCAAAGGTGCTGCAATAAGGGATGGACTTCCCTGATGGCTCAGATGGTAAAGAATCTGCCTGCAATGCAGGAGACTTGGGTTCAATCCCTGGGTTGGGAAGATCCCCTGGAGGAGGGTATGACTACCCACTCCAGTATTCTTGCCTGGAGAACCCCCAATGACAGAAGAGCCTGGCAGGCTCCAGTCCATGGGATCACAAAGAGTCAGACACAACTGAACGACTAACACTTTCACTTCACTTTTCACAATAAGGAGTGTCGATAGGTAGTGGATAACTAGAGATAGGTGGGCGTGAGCAATTATTTCCGAGTTTCTGTTAATCACCACGTGGGGTACATTTGTGGTTTATATGACGTTGCATATGTTGATTTTCCTCTCTCGAGGCCATTCACTTTCTCTGTCGACTTTCAGAAAATCTGAATTCAATCGATGTAGATGGCAGAGTATTACATATGCCCGCTTGCCATTCACACATTAATTCCTTGGTTGGCTTTCCAAAATGAGTTAGAAAAAAAGAAGAGCACCCAAGAAGTTTTGAAAATGACACAGAAACTAGAAAAGGCAAAGAGAAATCTGCCTGAAAAAAGTTGTTACTGCTGCTAGTTCACTGTCGCTGTAGTATTAGCAGTGAAGGCAAGATTTCATTGGATATTTACTACGAAGTCCCCCTTGGAAACTTGGGCTATTTATGAAACAATAAATAAGCAGCCTGAGTAGTTTCATAAGTAGTCCAAGTTTCCACGGGCTTTGCCACAGATGTGCTTAAAACCTGCACACACAGTCCACTGTATTCTTTTGGTATGCTCTCTACCATATATCCACCAAATTATAATCTTTTTGTATGCAGATCAGGTAAGTATATTTATATATAAAACTGTCCATTTGCACCTACAAATCTAGTGACAGCACTCATGTCTGTCATGAGTTAGTGAACCCAAATACCGATTTAGAGTTCCCTACTCCCATTTTGAATACACAAGCAAGTTCCTTTTCTGCTTGACTAGCCATTCATAGAGATAGCCTTGGTAAAAACAGATTTGTCCTATGCACCCGTTGTAACCCCTTCTGAAAATTTAGCCCTTGAAGTCAACTACAGTGTGATTCTGCTCAAAAACTTAACTATTGGTACATGTTGAGAATGATTCCATTTTCCTTAATGGTAACTATAATTGGCTTTCCCCTTTTCTCTTTTTAATTTTCCCCCCTCCCACGCTGTGTTGCTTTGCACTGACTGTGTTTGCATGTCGCACCCTGGTGTATCCATCGTGGTGATGTCACATGGCTTGTTGCTACGATACCCGCCACGCCCCATTCCATCGTTTGCATCATGGTTGCTCCACCCTCTGGTGCGTTGCTTCCATGATTTCCTGCCGAAAGTGCCCATGATGCACAGCGCTACACCTTCCACCATGTCTGCAGCACCACCACCTGCTGCCAGCATTCCCTTCGTTGCAACAGCTCCAGGCAATCAGGTTTGGCCATTTATTTCACCTGTTCGGACCTAGCTAACTACAGTGTGTTGATGAGGCACAGTGTATGCTTTGGAGATTGGTGAGAGATATTAGTCTCTCTTAAGCCATTCTTAGATTTAGAATTTTTCTGTAAATTCTGGACAGATGTTCCTGCTTTGCTACTCATCTTGAGATGAATCAGCAGAATAGGCTCTTTTAATTGGTTACAGGTGTGACTCTTGCTCGATTATATATACAGTTGTTGCTACTACACCAATCCTCAAATACATATGCTGATTTTTTCAATGTTTCCTCATTGGTTGAGAACAGAATTTACTTTACTACCATTTCTAGTTATTGCATTTGAACTTTTGCTTAGTAATATCATCACCGTTGTCTTCAGGTCTACTGGAAAGAAAGATAACACATTTCTTTCCAAGGCACAGATTTGCTTATCATTACCCAGTGATTACATCAGAAATTCCTGCTTACACATTAAATGTGTTTGTGCTGTTTTAATTTTCATTTGCTTGAGGTTTTTACAGGCAGAGTCACAAGGCAGATTATGAATTTTGGGGAAGTCTTGAAATTGTAAGGAGATACTTAAAATAATTATTGTGTAATATGATGGGCATTTCACCTTATTAAAATGGTAACCACGCTTTAAGACTTTAAGTCCACTGCTGTTTTAATTACAAGTTGGATAACCCTATAGGACACAGAGCATTAATTCACTGGAGGAAATAAACCACATTCTAACCTGTGCTTTGCAACATTAACTATTACTGGATATGGTTAATATGTCTAAATTTTTCTATGAAATTGATTAAGGTTTTTGATTACCATGTCCAAGCAGTGAACAAAATAAATGGAATTCTCTCAAGAAACTGTTTTAATCTAAAATCTTTTTTACTACTATAGATACCCCCATTATCAATAGATGAACTGAATAACAACAGCATGTTTGTTACACAGATGTAGAAGTTCCCAATAGAACAGTAAGTTTCTTTAAGTATTAATGTAATATTTGTAGGCTATATCTTTTATCTACACAGTTGCATTTGCTAAAGAGTTTGGTAAATATTTTCATTAAGAGACATTGCTTATAACTTTAGAGCTCAATTTAAGCATTCTAACTTTTCCACCTCGAATTGTAGAGAGCAAATATGTGATTTTTTAATATGGAAATGACAGCTGGTATTGTATTTTCCCAATGAGCTTATAAATTCCCAAATGCTTTCCCATTATTAAAGGGGTATGACTGGTTAGCCAAAGACACAGATCGCTTCTGAATTTTAATCTTTTAACATTTTTCTAGCTTTGTTTTTTTTAAATTGAAATAAAGCTAGGTAATTTTGTCACAATTTGATTAAGATGATGATCTTAAAGATAGTAAGCAATATGCTTCTCCTAAGACATTAAAGAGTGCTTTCACATTCTGCCACTTTGTGTTGCTTCCCATGTAAGTCTAGCAGATTTGCTCCAGCTGCTTTCAATTTTCAGTGACTTAATTTAGTAATTTAATCATTATTTTCATTCAAATCATGACACCTTTTTTTGTGATTTTTGTTGCTGTTTTCAGAGTTTCCCCCCTTCACCTTTGATTTCCTATCCGTGGTCCAGAGCCTGTAATAGCAACACACTTAAACTGAGCAGTGATTCACTTGGAACATGTGACTTTGGAAGTCACTTAAGACTCTGAGGCATCTTGATTGATTATAGGGAGTTACTAAAAAAAAAATACACTGGTTCTGAATTGCATCCATTAGTCAGTGAAAGCTTTAAGTTTTCACCATGGGAGTGTCTGACTTGGTTGAAGGAGGCAACAGTGCCGTTCTCTTGATGGACTGGTTCCCCAGAAGCGAACTAGCGTTTGTTTCTTGCTGAGGACACACAGGCCCAGAACACTAATGGTTCTGGACAGAGCATATAGACAACTGTACATTAGACAAACAGGCCCCCTTAATCATAAAGAATGTTCTAAAAAGACATCTTTGCATATACAAAATAACTGAAGTAGCTGTATATTGTAGTCACTTTCAGAGGTATCATTTGTTATAGTGGCAACTTGGGAATAGCACCAAACGTGAGAATCATAAGTTTTATAAACATTGACCTGATTTTCATGGACTGCTTCACATCAAGGTAAACAAAAGTGGTCAAATACAGTTAAATTTCCAACAGAACATGTTTGGGAGTAGTGATCCCTTTTTGCTTGATTCCATGAGAAAAGTTAGATTTGGCACACCATAATCATTGCAACATGTAACAGATGTTGATCATTTTTCCAGAATGCAACAATGTAATCTTATAAAATACTGTGTACCCAGAATTCACACTTAGGCCATTCCTGCATAGGTCCAAAACATTCAGATAAAAAAAATTAAAGTTTGTTTAATACTTGCATATTTCAAAATGGAATCAAGTATATTTTCTCAATATATGCTTGTTGGAAGAAGTGGATGGATGGGTGGATGTTCATCAAAAAGCTTTGGCATTGTACATATAATACCTTAAATCGTTGAGTGCTTCTCTGATAACTTAAGGTCTTACTTAAGTGTCTACATTGGCATTCAGCGAGAACCATGGACTGTCATGGTATGTGACTCCTTAGTAAACATTCCCAACAGTTCAGTTTTCACAGAGGTAGACTATGAAATTCAGGATGGGGAATATCTTGGCATATGGTTCACACAGAACTAGAACAAAAAAAACAAAACAAAACAAAACAAAAAAAAAGAACTAGAACAAAAACTAAATATCCTGACTCCAACTCCGTAATCATCCAATATTTCTCACTCTCTTTTTTTTTTTTTCCATTTCAGTTGAAATTCTGAACAACAGAGTTACAGATTACCAGAATCTCTCTGTGAGGACCTCCGCGTGGCCTTTCTATATTCATTCACGTATGTCCTCTTCTACCAACACAACAATAAGCGTGGTGCAGTCAATATATTAAACATGCCAACCAACAAATTCAAAGAAAAAATAAGGCATTAAACAAAGGAGATGTTAAAACACAAATGGAAAATGAAATAACTACCATCTATCTTATTTGAATTATTATGTAAAACAGTATAACGTTTTATAATTTATCATGTGTTTCTCTGTGATTTCCCAGTAACTATTATGCTGAGTGAATCTCTAAAGTGGACTGTTGGCTTATTGTGCATTCTTGGTGGATAAATGTTTCTCTGTTTTGAAGTGTTAACCAGTTTGTTTACACAGTAGTCTATTGGGCTGATTTAGAATGTAACACATATATCCAGTACCATTTTCTTCATTATTGTATCGTATTGTTGTGTATTGTGTTAGGTTTTTACATAGTATATAGTGTTTTGCTGTAATGTGTGGTGTTTGATTTTAACTAAAATGTTATCAATGGGAAACAGAAACACATGTGCTTGAAAAAGATGACAGGTTAATATTGATATGCTCTCTCTTTAGAATATTTCTGTAGGTTTCTTGAGGCAGACATTTAAAGGGCCTCTCTTTTGAGTATGTCTAAAACCTGTTCGTAAACATGCATGTATATAATTTGTACCTGTAGATCTGATCTTGTATAGTACAGTCAACGTTACTAGATTTTTTTGTGAGAGAGAAAAATTACCTGAAAATAGCAGGGAACTTCTTAAAACATTAACCTGAATTTCACTCCTTAAGTAGCTAAGCTACTTAAAGTAAATTCTGGATTTACCTTTAAATGGTTTTCTCAGCATTTAGACTATGAATTGTGTAAAGTGCCCATTACAGTTTTTTGTGGCTCAAGAATCCTGTCTTCTAGGTTGAGTGTCTAAAACTGAGCGATTTGTAATCTTCAGCTGAAAAATTGGTCCTGGGAGCTTAAAGGTATTCTGACTACAGGTTATAAATTAAGTAGAGAGAGGAGGGGCATGGAGATAGTTTTTACATTTTGGAGGAAGTGTGTAAAAACCATTGCACTGTAACCTTTGATACAAGTGCCATTTTCCAAATGGAAATGGCTCATGCTCTTTACACTACTCTGAATAACAAGGAAGATGCAATCTGGAACAGTCAGTCAGGGTGAAGGAAAATTGGTTCCCAGTGAGGCCTTTCCTCCCCAAATGGACAGTCTTTTCTGTTGATCACAGTTGGAGACAAGAGTATAGGTTTGGAGAAATGGCAGGGCTGGGGAAGGAGGGAGGGAGCCACTTGAAATTACTCTTCAATTCATTTAAAATTTCTAGGGAAGGATGGCCACAGTTGTCTTTAGTTTCAGTTCAACTGAGTTTTCCATTTTGTTAAAACATTTCAGTGAAGGAGCAAGCACCTGGGATATATGTTACTGATACATTTTCACCGTCCCAAACTTTATTAGCAACAGAATCTGTCGTATCACAACCAAACTTCTTTTTTGTTTCTTTGGATTTCTTTTTTTTTATATGTTTTGAAAATTGTAAGAGAGTTTGTAACACCCTTTAGATGAAATGGAGTGACTGCACTCCACAGAACTGACCTGAATTCACACTACTAATACTTTTGAAATAATTGAATAGCCAAGTAAAATAGTAATTAATTCCTATGGTATGTCACATACCTCCTCCACCCCACTCAGTTATTAAAGTTACTGTTATTAATGAGTGGTAGAACCACGTGATAATTTGCATCAGTTTAGATAGATTTAGTATTTTCTATTAAATATATGTTCCCTCACTGGAAAGTACAAAGTCATCAAATTTGCTGTATGTCCCAAGTTTATTATTCTCCTTCATGAAAATGACAAGCCAAGGGAAAATCGGGTTTTGGATACCTCAAGCCAACTAGTAGTATTTGAAGCACAGAACAGTGGAACTGGCAAAAACCTTTTCACCGCCAGGGCATGTGACTTGTCCAGGACTGCCTAGCTACTTGGTAGAAGTTGGACCCTGAAATATCTCCTGACTCCTGGTTGTTCCTCCATTTCACGTTGTCTGTGCTTCAGAACATTTGAGACTCCAGCCCAAAGCAGATCATTTTGGCTCAGAATAACAAAAGAGCAAAATTAACTCTTCAGTAGCTGATATCCTGTTGAACTTAATCATCAATTCAAAACATGATCATCAGTGATTTCTAAGTGATCTTGCTTGTATTGAACCACTGTCATCTGCTAACGGCGTTGTCTGGAGTTAGAGAACAAGAGGCGTGTTGACTTTTACCTACTGGTCCTTTGAACCACTTAATTTCTGTTTCCCAAAATCTTAACTCTGTACTCTGGCAATGTTACTTGTGTTTGGAGCTGAGTTTTATAAAACCTGTCCTGGGGCCTCTCCAGAAGGGCAGATTTGACCGAGGAAGGATGTACCTCAGCTACTCTAGATGTATTCCTTAAAAGAGACAGAGACATCTTCAGTGTGAAATGAAGTTTTTTGGGTCATTTGACGTTTTGATACAGCATACTGTCTAATTTTTAAACTTCTGACAAAGATGTACATGGACAGTAAGCCTTGAGTACAGCTGTTTGCATGTTGCCTTAAGCACTGGAAGACATGAATGAATAGTGATGTACTTTTAAGTAAGAGGTTCGGTGAGAGATATTCAGGGTAGTGGTATTTTTGGTGCCACAATTTTTTTATATTGTTGGCATTTTAAAAGTTGCTTTGTGAGTGAATTTAGAGAAAGAAAACTCAAAGCACTAAGGTTCTGATGTGAAAGAATTTTGACAAAAATGCAATATTAAGATAGCACTCTTTAGTTGTGCAATGACTTATTCAAATGATCTTTATTCAAGAAAAGACAAGTCATAGACTATAAAGTTCTGGTGAAAAAGAGAAGTCACAAAACTAATCAGTGACTCTAAACGACAATTTACTGGATTAAGTGTATATATGTAAAATTCTAATCACTTGTGATTCTTAGTTAACATTTTATAAGCTTTGTAGTTTATAAGAGCCTCTTTTATTTGTCCAAAATTATTGTTTTTGTCCTCTCAGTCTCTTTCAAAAATACACAAGTGTGCTGCAACTTGGATAAAAACAGGTCATGTATACAGAGAAAATAATCTAAATGTTTAAGAGGGTTTTAGTAATGTCAAATTTCTAAAAGCACTATGTGACCGTAACATAAGTATGTTTTAAAGAGGGATTAAAGTTAAATTTAAATGGATTCATAAAATCACTATGTAAAAAACAGTATTTGCTTTCGCAGTTGGAGCATGATTCCTCAACTAGCTGTTGCATTTCATTTCACTTGTCTAGAGTCTTTAATTTGCAGTTAATTGCGATGTGTAAAGCCATCCTCTGCCAACGCCATCAGTCTTCTCCATCCATTCCTGAACACACTGAAGCACTTTGATCTTGCCATCAGTGTTGTCCTACACCACTAGGCTGTGTTCACTAATGGGCAGCCTCAGCTCACCAGCTTTCCAGTTTGGGCAAACAAGTACCTCCTCCCTACCATCAGCAGGAACCAAATAAAATGAATCATTACAGCATGAATCTCTTTTTTCATGGCACGACCAAGAAGCACAGTGATGTCCGATTAAGGACAACATTGGCATTAAATTTTATTAAATAACATATAGGGAAGGCCCATGTGCTACTTGGAACGTTATTTCGGCCTTCCGCTACTCCTTTAGAGAGTTTATGAGGATGCTCTTAGATGAAATGCAGCCACAGGTTTTCAGGTTATTTCAGTCTGTAGGGTAGGCTGTGATGCACAGAATGAATAGAAACTGGAATCTTCTTTCTTTGAATCTCTTCTACATTTCACACGTTTAAATAGAAATAGGGAAATACGATCTCCCAATTCTGTTGAATAGATTTAGGAAGATGGTGGCCTCACTTTTTATCAGTGCCTGGCAAAGGCAATAGAATAAACACTAGGTAACAGAGTATAACAACTTTTTTTTTTTTGCAAGTTTAACTGATAGCACCTAATCCAACTGTAAATATAATTACAAATAAGGTTCTGAGCACCAGCTCACTAATTGGTGCCATGTTTTCCTTTTTCTTGTTTTTAAGGTTTTTATTTTGTTTCTTTTTCATATCTTTAAGTAGTTCATGAATTTAACTTTGAAGGAGAGTTAGAGAAAATTTTAAGATTTTACTCCATGTATTCAACCCGCCTAGATAGATCCTCAACTGACACTGAAGCAAGGTGTAGAGTCTAGTTCATGACTATTTCTTACAGTTCACAAGAACTTAACTTTATATACAAATAATAATTTTTAACTAATTATATTTAGTTGTTGCTTCAGCAACAAACCTACAACATGGCTACCTTTAGACATTTTTTTGTGTGTGAAAATTTTACTTGTAAAACCGGTTTTTTGACAGTGTGGCATGTAGCACATATAGCTCAAAGCTCAGATATAGATATGGTTGATTTTTCTTTTTAATCCCAAAGTTCCCTGTGAAAACTGAATTTGCGTCCTTCTGTGACTTTTTGAGCAAAAAGTTTACAACATGTGGATTCTAGAATCAGGCTTTAGAGCGATAGAATTTGTTGTGTGGATAGGGTTATTCCACAGTATTTAGACACAATTGTATTCATAATATGTCCTGATCTCTCTTTATAACCTTACTTATTCAAAATTTCTCAAGTGGCATAGCTGTAGCTACAAAAATTTTCTTACTCAAATCTATCCAAAGGAGGGTTAAAGAATGACAAAAGCACAGATTACATTCATTCACATTAGTGAACTCATTCATACAGATACTGTGGAATGACCCCATAACAGTGTTGAAGAGACATATGCTGCAGTTAACTGATGGTCTCAGTTAGGGTGCGACCGTGTGAGACACACCTTTTTTGCACTTATGTACATAGTTCATGAAAGTGACCCTTGGAGTTGTTTTTTTTTAATATAAGAAGTCTGTGATAATAGTGGAAAAGTTAGTAAGAGAGAGTTATTTCTAAGACTTTGAGAAGAAAGTTTTTTTTTTTCCTACAAGACTTAACTAAAGCATGATGTTGCTTTCCTGTTGTGGAGGCTTTCTAGTTCACTACAGCTCACCATAAGACAAGACTGGTGGCAGGCAGGTGAAGTGACAGCTTCAGCCAATGGCACTAAACAAAAGTTCAGGTACTTCAACTTTTAGCAAGATCGCTAGCAAAGATTGTTATGTGAATTAATCCTCAAACACACATGCACACACAACCCCAGGCAGGTTTTTGGTGCTAAGGTCTTCTTTTTTCAATGGTTACAAGCAGTGAAATACCTTGTAAGCTGCAAGAGGGATATTCCCATTCTGATCCAATGAGATTTCATCTTTCACAGAAAATGATCAATTGAGATATATCGGTTATATCAATTAATATATATTTAAGTGACAATCAAATTGTTAACCCTCGCCACTATTTCCCCTTCAATATCCAGAAGCCAAAACCAAATTGGCAACTATTGAAAGATATAATTTAACAGTTAAATATGACCAGCACAGGGCATTTCATCCCCCCCAACAAAGGGGAAAAAATAGTCCTGACACAATTTTATATTTACTTTATACCTGCTCAGTGGAAGCTATTTTTTGACTTACCTTTAGCAGATTAGACAGTGCTTCACTGTGCCACTTCAGCCTCCTACTCTTTTAACCAAACAGAAGAGAACCAGCCAAAATCTTACATATTAATACATTGGAGCTAGAAAAGAATGTCAGACCATCTCTGTCGATTTCAGCTCCCATGTCACCTACAAATCACCATTTATCTTTTTGTTTCCTCCAGGCAGTGAGGCTTAGAAAAAGGTCAAGGTTAGAAAGGTTTAAGGATAGATCACCATACCGACTTTGAGGCCTTCCCATCTTGAGACCTGTTGTCCTTGCCCTGGAAAAGGAGCCCATCTTGGGGTTGACGGAATTGGTGTTAGTATTGTTACCGATTTTGATAGTTCTCACTTACAGAGACATGAAAATAAACCAAAGCCAGAAAGCAATCCAAGCCTTACAGTTGTCCAATAGCTCAGGGCCAGTTGGTCAGAAATTTGTTTTTTTTTCCCCCCTTCAATACATGATCACTTACTTACAGCTAACAACCTGACCATCTGATCAGCATTTCCATTGATGTAAAATGTAAGCATTCATTCATTTTGTAGTTAGGAACTCCAACTTTAACCTTACCACCAACATATTTTCCCAGCTTAACCCATGTTCTTATGTTAATATTTCCTTGTGAAAATATAAGCCACATGAATATATTTTCATAAGGTCAATAGAAATATAGTAAGATTTTATGTTAGGCAGAATCAACTCTAAAATAGTAAGAACGAACCTAGAAGCATCACAAAAGGTAATCAGTTCATTGATGGCACGTTGTGCGTACTGACAGCCACTGGCTCATACTCTTTAGAGCTTAAACACAGTGCTGTCTTTTAAGTAAGTAAAATTAGAGGATGAAAGGACCTCTATTAAACCCAGAAAAGGATTTAGTTTCACTAATTCAGTTTCTATCCCCTACACTTCTTCCCTGGAAGAGAACTACCCATCAATACCCCAAAGCAGGATCATCCCAGAGGCATTTTATCTTTCTCTTTAACCATCCTCTATTATAGCATACTTAGGAAAGGTATCACTGTGAAATAAATCAAGCTACATCATATTACTTTAACTTTTTTTAAGAAAAAAACCTCTATAAAAGTAACCCAACTTTAAGCAGTCCTCTTTTCCCACACACAACCTAAGCATTTATCTGTCATAGAACTGCATGATTGCAAAGCTTTATTTCTGTATACAGATGCTATTTGTTAATGATGGAAACCAAATTATTTTGTTGCTGTGTCTTTCGTGTCTAGCAGTTGAGAGAATTATTATGACTATTATATCATTGGATTTGAGGGTTGCCCTTGTCAAAATCAATTTCCTTTTATTATTGTTGTTGCTTTAATTATTAGAAAATGAACCATTCGTTACATGCACCAAAATTACAAGAATTTAAATAAGACTTTTAAAAGATACTCCTAAATATATTCTTTTTTACGAAGCTAACTCTGTGCATTCATATAACAACAGTCTGGTATAATGTAGAAAATGGAAGCACATATTTTGGATAGAAAAATGCTGATTTACATACAATTTAAAAATTATTAGCCCTGTGAAACAATTATAGATTTAAATAATGATCATAATACTTAATAAATATAAACTGTTCCCATCATATTTTGGCTCCAAAATGCAACAGCTCATTTCCTCAACTGCTATCAGTAGGTCAGATGCTTTGATTTTTTTTGTTTTTGTTTCTCCAAGTTATATGCTCTACTGCTTGTTTGTGTTTAGAAGTGTGCATTATGCAATTCATTTTATGCTATTTCCACGTTGTTTATTTTTTGTTCTTTTAATAAAATGTGTAAATTTCCTGGTTTTGTCTTTTTTTATGAATCCATATTCACACATTAGGAGTTCACTTAAAAGCGATTTGTCTTCTAGCATATTAATCTTAATATTTAGTAATTCTAATATAAAATTTGATTTGGTTTAATGCTATATTTCATACATAGAATAAATTTATTTCTAAATATATACTTTCAGTATTTTGAATTATATAGCTAATACATCCATTGTATTAGATATATTATTCCTATAATATTGAGGTCACTACCACAAGAAAGATACACTTATATTTTAGCAAAAGAATCTAAACATTTTGAGATAATGCTCACTGGTTTCTATTGTGCTTCAGAAATTCTGAGGCATATTCTAAGATACATTATTATCAAGAGTTTGTATTTTCCTGTTATTGATTTCTATCCTTTATCTTGAGTGTAACGTATGAAACCAGTGTCATTCATTTTATTCTTTTCAAGATGGGCATCACTGGTTTCACAACACCAGGATGCATGACTTTCCTTTTAAATGTTTTCTCTCACTTCAAATTGGTTTTCTCCAACCAATGGCAAAGGAATGAAAGGATAATCAATTCTGTTCTGTAAGGAAAGCAAAATGTAACTTGGCAACACTTTATTCAGTCAGATTTCTAAATACTTAAAACACTAATCAGGAACTTCTCCAATGTCCAGTAGTTGGCTTATAGAAAACTGAGATGAAGAGATTGTGGATAAGAGGTTGTGACAGAGTGAAAAAGATCCTGGTGCTGGGAGAGATTAAAGGCAAAAGGAGAAGGGGGTGGCAGAGGATGAGATGGTCAGATGGCATCACTGACTCAATGGACATGAGCTTAAGCAAACTCTGGGAGATAGTGGAGAACAGGGAAGCCTGGTATGCTATAGTCCATGGGGTTGCAAAGAGTCAGACACAACTGAGCAACTGGACAACAAAGTATTATCCACATATCTAGGACAATGAAAAGGGCCAGAATGGAGGTTGAGTTCTTGTCCAGTATCAGTTAAGTCCTACAGAGCTACTAGCTTCCTGGCCCCTTGTGCCCCGCTAGACTATTTCTAAGTGTGGTTCCCACTGTGGCGTTTCTTGATAAGCTGACTTTGAGCCCTTTGATGTGTTTGATACGTTTCTGTGACTCTGATAATTCTACACTAAAACCAGTTCAGTATATAGACATTTACAAGAGGTCTTTGGCCTCTAAATGATTCAGCTAATGTCTCTCTTTGAAACTGGTGAATGATAACAGCAAGAATTCATTCAGGGCAGGCATTCTCGACCGTCATCAAAATGGAGTTTCTAGCGGGCAGAGGGAAGTTGACCCAGGGGCAAAACCAGGTTTAACCGACTTTACCTTGGCATTTGCCAACCATTTCCCCAACATCCTGTTAAGTCCCTCCTATTCTCATCCCCTGGCCTTCCAGAAGCCCCAAGACAGCAACTTAGCAGTCCTGCTTCCCCAGATAGATAGTGGGTTTTTTCCCATTAGAACTCTCCTGTGGGTTATCTCAGGCTATGGAGAGCAGCTCATCTCTGAGATCTAAGAGACAAATCACACTAAGGTGTTAGCAGCTTAATGTGCGGCCCCTCCTGGGAGTGTTTATATTTTAAAAGGCATGACTCCGGTGGTCAAGTATCAGAGGCCACATGCACAGATAAGGGAGAAATGCTTTACTGAAGCAAAACTCTGGGCACTTGAATCACAACGTTTAACCAGCAACCAAATTCCTATGGATGGGCGGTACAGCCATTCACTACCTCAAGAAGGCCAAAAAAGGCAGACTCCTGTAATTTCTCACGGTCAGGAAAGTTCTGATATAATAATGAACCTAAAATACTGACTTGATACTGAATATCCCCAAATTCCACAGACCTGAATCCACCTTCATGGTCCACTTTGGTAGTAAAGAGCATAACAGAGTGATGGGCCTGACAAATGATGACATTTCTGGAGTAGCCTCACGCCTGTACTTGTTCATCTCCAACCGATGGATGCACATACTCGGCCTTTTTACTTGACGCTTTCCTGTACTGAAGTGCCCGTTTAACTGAGCCCTCCCAGAGTTTGCTCTCAGCGTCTGGACTCTCCCTTCAACAGGAGGACAGTAGGAATCTGGGGAACAAAAGCCAACAGCTCCACTGATAAAAAAGATAGCCACCCTGACAGCAGGGTGAGGTTTGTGAGAGGAACAGATTTGATTTCTGTCCTGTCAAATAGATGCTCCATTCCAAAGTGCATGCTGAAACCTGTATAAGAAAGAAGGTCTGGTCAGCCCAGCACTTTTCTGGTTTTCATATTAACAGTGCAGTGCAGAGGCAGGCAGGACACCTGGGCAAAACAGATGCAAGAAAAATCAAAGATTTTCCTGATGAAAGAGGGAGGTAACACCCTATAAGTGATTTAGCACACCGCCCAGCATGTATGTCTGAGTGCAAAGAGAAAATTTGGTAAAAAATCCTAGAATACTGGATGCACAGCAGTAAGCAGTAGTAACAGCACCCGTTAAAGCAGATAGCCTGCTCATGAGCTGGACCCGAGAATGTAGAAGGAACCTGAGGGATCTCTGCATTCAGCATGCTTCTAGAGACATTATGGCTACAGGAAATGATGGTCAGCCCATGGAGGATCAAGAAGAGGGTGGGGATTGAGACTTTGCCTTTAGCCTTTGTGACCTGAAGAGGTGAATAATTCCTTGGGGAAATTGGTAGTTAAGGGAGAATCAGATGTGTATTAATTATATATATATATATATATTTAGTAAGTGGTTATTGCTCTGCCTTTGTTAACTATTTAATAAATGTACATGTAGTTCATTCACAGTGTTTTGACTCTTCTCACTTGCTGTTTACAAAGTCCCAGGTGAAAGAAATCCATTTAACGGGTTGTTTTAATAGGAAAGCCTGAACTCACATGAATCCAAGGAATCAATGGTCACAGTCAGGGGTTTCCCAGTAGGGGTCGCCAATAAATGAGGCATCTGAGCTAACCAGCACACCTCAGTTTGGCTGGTTTACAGGACCTCCCTGAATCTCAAGCAAGTGTGTATCATAAACTGAGCACCAGCCAATGGGAGAGGTCCCTGCAATATAAGCAAGTCCCTTCTCCTGATGGAAATGACCAGAGATAGCCTAGAATCTGAAGATACTGGGGACCTCAAGAGCCACTGGGTGGAGGCTGTGGGGCCAGAGGAACTCCCAAACCAGACAGGAAAAACAGCCAAGGAGCGTCAGACATGCAGCTACATTCACTATTGTCCACTACTCTCCATATCCTGGAGAAATGTCACTGTGATAAAACTTAAAATACACAAATGCGGATATTGGTAGGGGGTTTAGGGAAAGGTCAGTCCAAGAATACTCTTTGAGTGATACACACTAAGATTGTGTCCACATGCAGTGGTATGTCACTAGATGCTTCTCCCTTCCAACCCACCACATACACTACTGCCAGAGTCATTTTTCTAAGGTAGAACATTACTTCATTTCCCGGATTAGTTCTTCCATAGCTCCTTCCTGCCTGTAGAATAACACTGATCTGCTCACATAGCGCGCTTGTGCTCTGGCCTTAGGCTCACCCTCTCACTTCCTGTCTCACCCACCTTCTGTAACCTGTACACTCCAGACAAGCCAAACCCCTGGTGAAAAGTGAAAGTGAAGTCGCTTGGTTGTGTCCGACTCTTTGCGACCCCATGGCACCCACCAGGCTCCTCCATCCGTAGGATGTTCCAGGCAAGAATACTGGAGTGAGTTGCCATTTCCTTCTCCAGGGGATCCTCCCACCCCAGGGATCAAACCCACGTCTCCCAGATTGCAGGCAGACTTACCAGCTGAGCCACCAGGAAATCCCCAGCCCCCTGGTGGGGAAATTAAAAGAAAAGAGATCTTCCAACCCCCAAATCCTCTCCACCAAAATAGTCGTGAAAGAAAACATGTTTATTATTGAATAAACATTAGAGCAGAATGGGATGAGCATCAGAGGCAACCCACTATGTGACTGCAGAGACAGAAAGGAAGCTTGCCCCTCTTTTGTGGTCAAACAGATAGAACCCATTCCATACGTGTTTTCAGGATACACCATAACTAGTCCTCAATTAAGAGCACTTGTGGTCATTCAGACTCTGTCCTAGCTTTCTCATCTACTGAGGAGACCTATGTTGACTATATCAGTTGGAGAAACAAATTTAACATATCTTTACTGCAGCAGATAGTTTTGCAAATTGGAGCAAGGTGCCCAGAGAAGTTAGACTCCTAAACTCCTAGAGCAACTGAGAGATGGGGCTCTGCTTCCCTTGATGTTTGCATTTCAAGGAGATCATTCCCAGGTCCTCCAGGTAACATTCCAGAGCTATGAGACCTTTGAGAGGCTTCTTTAGCCATTTAAAAGATTTGCATTCATTTGAAAGGTACAGGAAATGAAATTTGGAAAGAAATGGGAGAAGTGGGGAGAAAGTCTCCTCCCTTATTCTCAACCAGGAGAATTAAGGGTCTCATTTTTAATCTGCATTTGCCTTACACCACTCATTGTTTCACACAGGCACCCCATCGGTTCCCATATCTTTGTACTATTTTTCTATTTGAAACACCTTCCCCCCTTCTTCTTGCTCTTCTTTGCACTCATTATTCAAGGTATATATTAACTATCGCCTCTTCCTTGAGGACTTTTTTGGCCTTGCTAGATACTGAGATGCTACTACAGATGGTCCCTGACTTACAGTTTTTCGATTTTGCAATGCCAGTCAGCTGGGTGATCACAAGAATAAACATCCAAAACAACCATTCTGTTTTTCAGCTTTAGCACAGGATTCAAGAAATTACATGAGACAGTTCACACTTTATTGTAAAATAAGTTTTGTGTTAGATAAATGGGCCCAACTGCTGGCTAATATAAGTGTTCTGAATACATTTACCAATCTCAGTTCCTTTCAGTTCAGTTCAGTCGCTCAGTCATGTCAGACTCCTTACAACCCTACGGACTGCAGCATGCCAGGCCTCCCTGTCCATCACCAACTCCTGAATTTA